CAGTCCTGGACTGTATACACTATATAGTGTATACAGTCCAGGACTGTCTTTTTCTTTCCCCTATACGAAATCCTGCAGGCTCACCACTCTATTCCCTTCAGTGACACTATTATAGAGAACAATTATTAGAGCCGACAAACGTGGTGTTGTGCGGACTTTTCTCTTCTCCCTGCACTAGCCCAGAGGTCTTCAAACTTGACAACTTTAAGACTTGCACTAGCCCAGAGGTCTTCAAACTTGACAACTTTAAGACTTGTGGACTTGAACTCCACAAGTCTTAAAGTTGCCAAGTTTGAAGACTTCTGCACTAGCCTGACAGGAAGCTTGACTCGTTTGGAAGTGAACGCTTATAACAGACCCACTTTCCCACCTCTCAAATAACCGCGCTAAGCGACGGAATCAAGTAGCTGCGAAGGCATCGGCCTAAGTGGCAGCTCCCCGCTAGCCCAAAACGTAAAGGAAGAGACCGACGCAGGACGAAATATCCCGCCCAGCAGCGTCGCCAGGCTACACCTTCGCACCTGTGCGGCTAAGTTGCGCCACGATTACGGAGGAATTCCGCGGGTTTTGGGCACGTCCCGGTTCCCGCCTAGTGTTTCTTTTTTCTCTTTTCCCCTGCAAGTGGAGACCCGCGAGCGCCGCCTGGCGGGCGCTCAATTTTGAAGGGCAAGGGCGGCTTACCTAGTCCAGGTACGAAGGTGTTGAGGAACAAGCACAGGACGGCTACAGGGAACGGCATGTAGGGGATGGCGGCACGCAAGGGTCCCTTCTTCTCGCGTACTTGCACGACCACGCCGCCGGAGGAGGAGGAGGCGGCAGTAGCCGCGGCGGCATTATTTCCTCGAGCGGCACCGCCAGCAGTCGGCCCGGCAGCGTCCCCTTCTTTGGGGCCATGGTCCATGGTTGCCCGCTTCAGCCGGAGCAGCGAGGGAGCGCCTGAGTAGCTGCGCCCCAGAGCGTCTCCGCTCGAGTGAGGCTCTGACCGGGAGTCGGCGTCTGCCTAGGGATAAGGAGGCGCCTGAGCTCAAGTGGAGGGATCTCAAGGCGAGACGCGCCCAAGCGCCCGACTACGCCGCTTGGAGAGACCGCGCTGCGCACGCTCTCGCCTCTTGCCTGTCCTCGCCGCGCGCCGCTTCGCCCGCCCGAAGGCGAGCAGTAGATTTATGGCCTCGCTTCTGCCTCTTCTCCTCGGGTCCTGCTTCGCAGGCTGTCTCTCTCCGAGAGAAGGAACTTGCCTTATTCTCACCTGTTGGGTTTCCCACCCCCCCGAGTAATTTTTGTAGAAAGTTATTAAGAATCTCTCTTCACCCCCACTAATATTCCGAGAGCGCATGGATAGACATTCCGAGAGCGCAGTAGTTTTAATGGGACAACTTATGCGCCCCACACATACACCTGTGCACCTCCGCACACACATACACCCCACACACGCAACTCTTAACTGCTTTGTCCTGATACTGTTATGTCGTCTGAAGGTGAAACAGAAGATCACTCTGTCTCTGCAGAAAAGAATTTATCCAGTTACCTTGTGACCTTTTTTCTTTTCAGATTGTAAACAGAAGCTCTGACCCTGATCGAGACACTGAGTGCTCATCGCTTGGTACAGGTAGTTCTCGACTTACAAGAATTCATGAAGTGACCATTCAAAGTTACAACAGCACTGAGAAAAAAGTGACTTATGGCCATTTCTCACACTTGTGACCGTTACAGCATCCCCATGGTCAGGGGATCAAAATTCAGACCTTTGACAACTGGTTCTGTGGGGAGGGGTTTCATATGATCTGCTCTTGCAAACTTCTGACATGCAAAGTCAACAGGGAAGCCAGATTCATTTAATAACCATGTTACTAACTTAGCTGCAATGAATCACATAATAACTGGCAGGAAAGGTCTTTAAATGGAGCAAATCTCACTGAACAATATAAATGTTGGGCTTATCGTAACTCAAGGACTACGTGTATTTGTTTAGTTTAGGTGCTTGAACTGACTGGAGGTTTCTGCAAGGGCAAAATTCAGAAGTGTAGTGTAAGTATTGTCTTCATATAAATTAAGATTAGAAGCAAAGCACTAAAATACTTATTTTGGTGTAGTTCTGATGCATTTTCTAGTGCACATTAAAGTATACTTTGCTTAGTTTCCATTCACCTCTCCATTTTCATATTTTTCTTGATTGACTCTCCTTTAGTTTTTCATTTCCTTGCATGTAAACTACAAGGTGTCTCTCATGATTGTTTAATTTAGGCTTGATTTTTACATCCACCAAGGAAGTTTATAACCATATTCACTGCCATATGATAGGAGGATCTATTCTTTTTTCACTCTGGATCCTCAGTCCAGAATCATATTCTCATCTCAGCTATGGCTTTCCCTTGCCTTGAGATTGAGATGTCATTTCTAATACTATGACCTTGCCAACTGTCTGAAGCAGCTCAACTGATATCTTAGTTCTTCCCTTATCCTTTGTCCTGACTATCAAGACAATGAGACCATTTTTATTGTCTTCCAAGTTTAAGAAAAAATACATACTGGTAGATCAGTTCCATAAAGAACACAATAGAGAAAAGAGGCAGCTAGTGGAAATAATAAATTTGTGAAGCATTGTGCATGCTTCCAATAGAGATTTGGATTACACCAGTGTTTCCCAATCTTGCCAATTTTAAGATATGTGGACTTCAACTCACATAGTTCCCCAGTTGTAGAGTTGAAGTCCACACATCTTAAAACATGCTGTCTGGGGAATTCTGCAAATTGGAGTTCACACATATTAAAGTTGCCAAGACTGAAAAATACTGCATTAGAGAATGCAACCCATTGGTTTGATTCTTCATCTTCTTTCAAATATTAGCAATTTGTGACCTTCAAGTGCTGATAGATTGTAACTTAATAATTCCAGGTCTGGCACAGCCAAATTTCAACAAATCATCAATTTCCAAAAAGGTCCTCAACAAACTAAGAATCCACAACAACGGATATCTGATACAACCATAGCATTAAAATACAAAATACTATTTTCATGTCAGAATGCTTTTGTCTGGTCAACAGCAAACATGAGACATGACTTCAACAAATGGTCAGTCTTTCTGCTGTAGGAAGCAGACTGTATTCCAATTAGAACCAATTGGTGTATTAATTATAGGAGAAACTGACTAATCCCACATTTTCTTCAGATAAAGGGGATCAGGCTAGGACATGATGTTCTTCTGCTGTAACATCAAAGTTATGCCACAGCTTCCTTTGGAATTAAGTAAACCCCCACTGTGAGCATCTTCTGGAAAGCAAGAAAGACAAGCTATAAGAGAGAGCCTGTGGACTTTTTTCTATTTTGCAAGTTTAAATTGTTTGATTATGTAAAATTGTTGCTGCATTTAGGGTATATTTTAGTTAACTATAATGGTAGGGCATTATACTGTTTTGTGTTCTTTGTTAGATTATTTTCCACGAACATGTTAGTGAATACTCTAATGTTTTACTTCTCACTGTAGGTGTGGGTGTTTTGTTGTTTATACTGTCATGCATTTCATGGGCATTTTAACTGTTATAAGCCACAACAAGTCAAAATGAAATTGGTGGCAACTAAATTTGAGTAATTGATAAATAAATAAATACACTACTATATAAATGCATTGTATAATACAAATACGTTGTGTAATAAATACATTTTTCTAACAGTGAGAAAAATTAAACAGTGGAATAGCTTGCCTTCTCAAGAAGAGACTGGAAAATCACTTGTCTGAAATGGTATAGGGTCTCCTGCTTGAGCAAGGGGTTGGACTAGCAGACCTCTAAGGTCCCTCCCATATAGTATATATAAGAATTATATATAGTATATATAACAATTATATAATCAATTATGTATAATTGTAATAAAGAATTCCGATTTCGTATATACACACATTGAATGAGATTGTATACTCTATAGCAATTGAAAAAGACAGGGAAAATTATAAAACAAAGCAACAATGTGTTTTATTAGTATTACTTGTTTGTTGCATGAAAACTGATCCCAATGCACAGCAATTGAATTAAATATTTGATTTCTATACAAAGAGTGAAAACATACCCCTCCAGTTTCTTATGGCTCTTCATTCCTTTTTTTTCTCATTGAGTTATGGACATGTCTTGATACTGTGAGTTGTAAAAACCTTTTAAAAGACGGTGAGTAATTGTAATTCATTCTGCAACCTACTGTGTAGAATGTTAATAGAAGTGCCAGTTGCTTGGAATAGCGACAATGCTGGTGATGGAATATGTAAAATAATCAAAGCAAATATTACAAAAAGTCACAAGGGAAAATGTAGACATATGACATTACAGAATAAAGTTGGCTCCATTTAACTCAAGGCAATTTTTCTTGAATTGTGAATCGATTTAAATTATTTAAAACATTTTCATTAAAAAGGTTTGGAAAAATGAGCGATCTATTGTTTTAGTTAATTAATCATTTGAATTTGTATATATTTGCTTCATTACCACAATAATAAAAATGTAAGAACAAAATAAAAGCATCCAAATTAACAGATAGCATGAAACCTAGTAAAGTCCTATCTGAGTTGTAAGTCAAAATAAAGAGCTAGCTTTGGGGGTCTTCCTGAAATCCTGCTATGATAAGTTCAGTGAATATAAACTGAAGCAGTTCCATGCTTCAATTTATATCAATTAGAAGGACACTGTTGAAAATACCCCAGCCCCCGTTTTCCCAAAAACACCTAACCTGAAAATAAGCCCTAGCATTTTACGTGTGTGCCTAATGTAAGCCCTACCCCCAAATAAGCCCTACTTAAGAGCCTGCATAACCAGTGGACTGCCCATTTTATCTGGTTGCTCATAGTACTGTGGGGGGTGGTGGAGCTGCCCCAACTGCCCTACACCAGCTTACGTCAGGGCCCCCGGAGCCAGGACATCCACTCCCCAACACCTTGCGGTGGCAGCACCAGCCACTATGTGCAGCAAGAGCCCACATGGCTGCCAGTCCACTTCTTCCACTTGCCTCGTGGCTGTGGCACCAGTACGTTGCTCAGCCTCCTCCGTTGTGGTCACAAGCAAGCAGAAGTGGGCCAGCGATCATGCTTGGGCTTGCTGGACAGGGCTGCTGGAGCTGCTACCACAAGATGAGGCAGGAGTCGGGGTGTGGGCCTCGATGCAGGGTTCCAGAGGTAAGCCAGTGCGGGGTGCATGGGGCAGCTCCACCCCCACCCCCCACAGCAGTGGCACTGGTGTGCCACATGGCCTGCTCCATTGCAAGGAAGCAGAAGAAGTTGCCCTCCCTTACATGGGGGCGGGGAATAAGGTACTCTTTGAAAATAAGCCCTAGTGCTTATTTTGGCGCTCAAAAGAAAATAAGATCTGGTCTTATTTTTGGGGAAACACAGTATACAGTGCAATGAGTGTACATGATCTGACCAATTTGAGCCATCACATATTAATATGGTTTAGTTATTACTAAAACAAAGATAATTAAAACCAAATTCATGCTTTATAGTATGGTCTCAGTTGGTAAAT